ACACACTCACACACACACACACACACACACACATATGCTCACAATAGACCCCCCCACCACCCACCCACACACACATAATATACTGACAAAACACACGCTTTTGAATGCATGCACACTCGCACACACACGTGCACACGCACACACACACATACACACACACACACACACACACATACACACACACACACACGCACACGCGCGCGCACACACACATGCAAACACACATAATACACACAGATGCACACACAGATAACATTTAGAATTTTATACCTTAGTTAAGCACTCTAGTAAACGTTAGCTTCATTTTCCTTCTCCAAATTCTTCTTGCATTTTGAAGGAAACGGTTAAAATTGTAGTATTAATATGGCAGTGATGAGTGAAAATGAGAAACGTTTTCTGTCGGAAGTTCAATAGTAACACATTGGGTTTTTTTCTTTACGATTACCACAACTAGACCTTTTTTTCTCTATTTGTACCCTCCTCCTCAACTGTTCTCGTAAATTTTAATAATTGTAGAAAGAAGGATCTTCTTTTGTTTTGTTTAAAGAGCGATTCAAACTTCCCTCTGAACATGCATGTGTCATTTAAAAGAGGGCTCTATTCATAGGCCTTTTGTGGATCTAGGTCCTGACCAACCGATTCTCGGTCAAGGATTCGACTCGGGTATTCGTTGCTTGGCTATTTTTAAAAAGTATTACAATAATATCACAAGCAGTTGGATGGCGTCAAAGATATACCCTTTTCATTCTTAACTCTTTTCTTGATCTTTTTCCAATGAATGCCTTGTCGATGCACTAGTTGCTACCATTCTTCAGCTAATGTATTTCTTTTTTTTTAAAGATATAAATTGCTCCTAAGATTATTGCTGGCGTCTGTGGTGTAGAGGCTAGGCGCTGCAATGCCGCACGCATGGTACTCGAGTTCGGTCGATTCTCGAGTTGAGAGGCAATACTTATCGAATATCTAGGACTTTTTACTGCGATGTATCCTTCTCAGCCCAGGTTGACGCTGGTATGCAGAGTCGAAAGCTAGCTTCCTAAATGATCTAAATTGTGCTTATTGGGGGCGTAAAAACACCCACATGAAACTCACATTATCAAAGGAATCGTTCAACCTGTCTTCTTTTCTCAGATTGTCCCTTCACGTGGCTATCCAGCATCGATCCATTGACGTCCTCAAAGTTCTCCTCAAGTACGGGGTCGACCCTAACGAGCCTTCCACCGGAATCCTCAACCCACGCAGTCGACGTGGGAGTCATAACAGCAGCGTCAGCGACACCAACAGCCCTGTGGTTCCTGTCATTTCTCTTCCGGGATCCAGCAACCACCATCTCCATGTCCATTATCAGCATCATCATCAGCAACATCAACACCACCATCACCATCAGCAATCCAGTACCGTTTGTCAACTTCCAGACCTGCGTGTACCTTCACCTGAACATTCAAGACGGGGATCGCGCACAGGGGGCGAATGTCGAGGTTCTGGCTCCGATATAGACAACGAGGCGGATACAGTAAGTTCAGAGGATTCGTCTGTATTCAAGAAACAAAGCACTGCAGATGCCTCTGGAAAAGACGATTCGGATTCCACCGATAGGACATCTCCAGCTATATTGGCAACAGTAAGCGAACCTTTCCAGCCTTGTGTCAATAGTGCCTCTCAGGTTCTTTCTGAGACCACAGATATCAGCAACAACGACAACAGCAATATTCATAGAAGTAGTACTGGCTCTGTTGGAAGAGTGAGTATAACATTTGAGCAACAACCGCCGCTACAGCAAGAACAACGCCAACAACAGCATGAATGTAAACAGCAGCACCAGCAGCACTTTCCAGCGTCAGCAAATCGTTTCCACCGCCACAGTGTGGACACATCCCTACTGGTTCCAGCAGTGACCAGCGCACTAAGTCGTTCTCCCTTCACAAACCGCCGCGGCCACTACAGCGGTCACCTACCAGAGATCGTTGAAACAGTGGCCGAAGAGAATGGCGAGTTCAGTTTCTCCTCGGTCTACTCAAGGGAAGAATTGTTTAATCTGCCATGTCTATATCTCGCCGTTGTTGAAGGTATTCCCTATATAGCACAGCTGTTGCTACGCTACGGCGCTCAGCCTAACGTCCAAGACGTTCATGGCTGCAGCCCGTTACACGTCGCATGCTGCCCCGACTTCCACAACCAGGACATCGTAAGGGCGCTTCTCAAATCCGGCGGCAAAATCCACCTTCAGAATTTTCAACAGGACTCGCCCTTTTCGCTTTGGCCTGAAGTGCTCAACGAGCAGAGAGCGGTGGTTCGGGCAGCTTTGACCCGGGTAACCTTTCAGTCGAGGGGGTCACGGTCTCGAACGTCCTCTGGCGCGGGTCAAGCCGCTAAAGACAGTCCGCTGTCCCTCACGCCAACTCATGACGCGGTGGGCACGAGTAATTCCCATCGATCTGGCAGCGTGAGCCGGTTTTTCAAGCGTCTTAGTTCGGATCCTAAGCCCAAGAGTAGAGACCGTAAGGTGACACGAGATGAGAGCTCGGTGTTCACGTCCGAAGGCCTGAGAGAAAGGACCTATTCCAGTGGTTCCTGTCGCAGCCGACATTTCTCTTCATGTGTCCAGGACGATCTGGAGAGCGATATATCCCTGGTAAGTGAATTGGACGGAGAAGACTAGACGTTATTTTAGTGTTGGTCTTTACATTTTCTTAATCATACCCCCTTCTCTTGCCCATCAATCCCTCCACCCTCTCTCTCTCTCTCTCTCTCTCTCTCTCTCTCTCCTTCCCCTCTCCCTATCTATCTATCTATCTATCTATCTATCTATCTATCTATCTATCTATCTATCTATCTATCTATCTATG